GCAACACCCACAGAGCACCACCACCTTCGTCCGGGCGGCGGCAAGTCTTGTCCCTCTCTGGTTGCTGCTCACACGCACGAGTCACATACACACAATCACCTGTCACCTGCGTCGTCTAGCTTTCCCAATTTTTTTCTCTTTTGCATGCTGTACTATACTGCGCAGCCATTGCCTCTCCCCTCACTTATACATTGACAAGACGTCCCTTGTCCTGGTGCTCGCAGTCGAAGGAGAAACCTCATCCAGCCCACCTTGAGCGACTTTCGTCACTGCCGCACGCTGCCTCGGCACCCCTACAGTGAACCTCCAACGGTCGGAGAACATCGGACCTCGATCCTCCACACGTTCCTGGCTGGTTTTCGAGTCATACTGCTGCACCAAGTCAATTGTTGCTGTCCCTTGATTCATTCATTCAGGTCCTTCGAATTGTTCGTCCCTACCGAAGCAGGCCGCAAGGCCTGAACGTCGCTCAAGATGTCGTGGAAGCCTACTGAGAAGCTCATGCAAACCATTGGACACTATGCCAGCTTTCCGCCCACAGGAGTCAGTCTTCGACAGATGGTTCAGTTTGGAGAGAAGCCTTCTGCTGGTATGTCATTGCAAAGACTCGCGCCCGCTCTCGGGACTGTGGCTGACTCTGCGTATAGGAACTCTGTTTCGTGCGTCACAATTTCTCTCCGAAGAGCTTCCCGTTCGTCTCGCGCACCGTGTAGAAGAGCTGGATAAACTACCCGATGGTCTCAATGACATGCCTTCGATTCAAAAGGTGCGAGACTGGTATGCTCAATCCTTTGAGGAAATCACCACCCTTCCGCGACCTCATTTAGACACCGAAACCCGAGACCGCCTCCTCAATCCGCCCAAGAAGTCCAGTACCAAACTCTCCGCCACCACGCGAAACCCGAGTCTCAAGGACCATGGCAATGGTAACGGCAAGAGTGGGATGAACTCGCGTCGCTATTTCGCAGCTCTGGACGACGGCAAGGAGTGGCCTCCCGTCCTTTCCGAGTACAACCGCAAGTTCGCCCGAACCCTGGAGATCATCAAGAGAAGACACGACCCTGTTGTCACCACTGTGGCCCAGGGCATCAATGAGTGGAAGCGTAAACAGCAACGTATGCAGATCGACTCCTCCATCCAGTCCTTCCTCGATCGGTTCTACATGTCCCGCATTGGCATAAGGATGCTTATTGGGCAACATATTGCTTTGACCGATCAGACCACCAACAGACACCCCAACTATGTTGGCATAATATGCACCAAGACCAACGTTCGGGAATTGGCAGAAGAGGCCATTGAAAATGCCCGTTTTGTGTGCGAGGATCACTATGGCTTATTTGACGCCCCCAAGGTCCAGCTCTTCTGCCCACCCAACCTGACCTTCATGTACGTACCGGGTCACTTGTCGCACATGCTCTTTGAGACCCTCAAGAACTCGCTGCGCGCCGTGGTGGAGACGCATGGGGCCGAAAAGGAGGAGTTCCCTGTAACAAAGGTGATTGTGGCCGAGGGGAAAGAGGATATCACGATCAAAATCAGCGACGAGGGAGGCGGAATCCCACGATCTGCCATTCCACTCGTCTGGACTTACATGTACACTACAGTCGACACGACACCAGAATTGGATCCGGGTTTTAATGCTAGTGACTTCAAGGCGCCGATGGCTGGGTTTGGGTATGGTTTGCCACTGTCGAGATTGTACGCAAGGTATTTTGGTGGAGATTTGAAACTGATTTCCATGGAAGGGTGAGTCTCTTTGCCCCCGTCTGTTCCTGGTTCGAGTGCAGTGGAGCTAACAGGTGCTGCAAAAAGATATGGGACCGACGTCTACCTCCATCTCAATCGACTTTCCTCGTCAGCAGAGCCTTTACAATAACAATTAGCAGTCATGAGGGACAAGGGCGGATCCCAAGGATTGGCGTTGAACAAGAACAATAAGATTGAGTCTGATGGGCCGAGGAGCTCGATCCCCGGCATCAGCAGTGGGCGTCTGGCCGCCGTGCGTTCACGATTGAGGAGTCGGGAGGTGACGGAAAGAAAACAGGTGGGAGATGCTGAGAGCATGATTAACGAGGAGCCCAGTGTGGTACAGCCAGGGGGAGCCAGTCAGTGGCTGGAATGAATTTGGGTTACCATGATGGGAAAGTCGTTGTTGATAGGGGTACCAGACAAAGAAACCAAGTGATTTGTGTTAGTTGCCACGGAAATGGGGTGTGCGCCATCGCCTGATAACGCCTTTGTTAATGCTGCTGGTATGGCCAGCCTCGTCTCCGTCACTCCCAGTAGTAGATTATACGAAGTATATGGGTGCCTCATCGCAGTAAGCGACGAAAGGACGCCCAGTCCAGCAAGGTTCCGCCTACCCCTGACCAAACAGCGGGAACATATTTATTGTTGCCATCAAAGCGGCTTGCTTAACTCGACACCCTTCCTGCTGCTGCTGCTTCAAGTGCTCTTTTCTTCCAGGCCCCAAAGTTTCGGAGACTTGTTCCTTCCGGTATCTCCCGAGGTCGGCATTCTTCGGAATTCAGTTGGTGGGTGGTTGAGCTTCACACAACGATGTCGGAGTTTGCGCAGATGTGGGGTCGGCGACAGGATCGTACCCGGAATCAGCTTCACCATGTGTGTATGTGTGTGCGTGTGCGCGCGCACAGCATGTTATAGTAGTGTCACATGACAGGGGGAGCAGTTAGAGGTACCAAGTGCAAAGGACGGGGAAAAAGAACTGAGTTGGTGGAAAATGGTTTATCCTCGTACATGGCACTGGCCTCGTACGCCGTACTCGGTACTCCTTCCTCTTCCGCCAATGGCGAAATCTCCTACCGCAAGCTTGGCAGTCTTGTCCAAGCGAGAGGCTCTGGTTGGTCTGAGATCAACAACATGCCTTGCCATATGTACAATCTCGTCATGGAATTCGAAGGGGTTTTAAAACAGAAAGTTGCCTCTGCCTCTGGCTTAGCAGGTTGCTTTGGAAAGTACATGAGTGCAACAACGTTATACGTCTTGGCTGGGTGAGCCCGAATGTGCTTCGATTAGCTGTTGCCACGGCTTGTGAGTGATGAGAAAAAGTGCGGGCAGGGCCTCCGACGAGATTGCCTCCAAGTACATTCCACTGGCAGAATGGCAGCATACTTGAGGATGGTGATGGTGTGGCGTGAATTTGCTGGGACTTTTTGGTTTCCTGTCACCCAGACAATCTCGCTAGTGGCTAGTCTCCTAGTGCCAGAGGGGTTGTGGATTGGCCTTGAGTATCACAAGGCGACGTGAAGGGAACGAGGCTGAGTGACTTTCTGTCTTACAATCACTTTTAACATCCACGCACCAAACGCACATTTCCACGGGTTGTGTCCGACAGAAAATTCTTTTTCTCTGGGAGAGACTTATAACAAAGGTCTTGGACAATGGGATTTGATTGGAGAGACGACCGTGATCTGGTCTCTATTGACAGGCGCCTATTCTAGCTGCGTGTGTGTTGCCACTACCCCCACGACATGCTTGTGTGTTTGGCCTAACTTTGTAAACGTTGCCATGTTCCTGTCCGTCGGCGTCCAATGGCCCGAGATGAATTATGAATAGGGTCTCAGGTGCCCTTCTGCAATCTTGTCCTCTCCTTCCACCGAACTCTCTTTGCCTGGCCATGTTTTTGTTGTTTTTGTCTGTTTTCTTTTTTTGGGGGTTTGGGGGATCTCCATTGCCGTGTCGCGTCGCTTTCTTTGTTGACGCTGTTGCTTCACCATGCTAAGCATTTCTCGAGTTTCTCCTGCGTTGGCTTAGTAGTGTGTTTGGTTGGAGGAGGGGCATCCTGTACTTACGCGAGGCAGTTCATAAGGCGCCAGGTACCAAAGTTGACGTTCCAGGTACTATGAATTGATCAGCCAATGTCAACTTGGAGTGAAGGGGGGAACGAACAGCGAATTCCGGAGCGTACCCACGAGGATACTCATCGAACAACGCCTGTACAAAGTATTCGAAGTACAGTCTCGTCGTTTCACCGTGTTCAATGTAAAACCACTGGTGACCTTCCCTCACAGGAAGCTCGTCTACCAACATATTGCCGGTGACGATGTCAGGAGGCCTGAGTGGGTAGGATGGATTGGAATCTTGCAGAGACTGAACTGACTAGGGGCTCTTTATTTGGTTTAACGAGAAAGACGCAGGTGGAGGAAGCAGGATGCTGATGCGGATGCGGATGAAGATGAGGATGAGAACGAGGACGACAATTTGAGGAGAATATACGGAGAAGCAGTCATGAGCAGCCATGAGCAGCCGTCCTGAACCGTCCTCACCCGCAATCAGCCGGGACACGCGAATACCACTGACCATATCACCTGTGTAGGCAGCAATCCGTGAAGATGGACTCACCTTGTGTGACACTGTGGTGGTTGACTGCCTCACCCTTCCGACAATCCCGTGACTATCATGGTTGTCAGCCTCGCCAATACTGAGTCTTCAGTTTGCTGCTGGCTTTCTTGTGCGACCATCCTGTAGGTTGCTTGCAGCTCTACGCAACAAGAAATATCTGGCTCGGTGTCAGGGGCCATGTTGCTGAAAGGCGGTCTCAAAGAGAGCCAAATCCACAACTCCAGCGCTCATACAAGTCACCAATGTGTGTCAGTGAGGTTCCAGCATGTCCAGTTGACAGACTATGTCAAATCCCGTTGACGGCGAGACGGTGAGGAAACATGCGCCCTGGGAACCGGCTTGTATGGGAATGACGAGGTGCAGTCTATCTTCAGTCAACCATAGCATGTTGCTAAATACTGACGTCCTAGTCATGTCGCGTCACTCTGATCTGGTGTCACTTCCTGGGTCCACAGGCGTGAATCTTCCAAGATTGCCCTGTGTGTGTGTGTGTGTGTGTGTGTGTGTGTGTGTGTGTGTGTGAGTTAGTTGTGTTCAGACCTGCCCCATATGGAATGGGCAGGCTGGAACAACCCGGCCAGAGATGGCAGATTAGGCTATCAGGCTGTCACATATGCCGACGACAAGTCGTTACAGAAATGTCGACTTCTTTTCGTCGCTACACAGTAGGTATGATGACAGCTTCCTACTCCACCAACACGTTCCTGTGAACTGATACAAGCCGCAGCAAAGGAGGATCGCGAGCGAGTCCTGGGCGAGGCAAAGAGAGAGCTGCCGCATCCGCTCAAGCAGCTCCTCCGCTTGAAGCGTCATTATCAGCAGCCGGACGAGGAGTCCGGGCTGGTTATCCCTCGCAGCGAAGACTCAGCACCGTCCGATCAGGGACAAACTCACAACGCCAACCAAGAGTCCTCCGGTATCCACTGCGAGGCTGATCAGACAAGTAATAAGAAAGAGGCGAGTCAGGATGACCAAGGCTATCGTATTGGCAACAGCAGCAGGAAACCCCAGCCACCAAGCAAGTCCATAACAGTGCCAACGCCACACCCATCGAAACCAGAGCCGTCGAGCCTATCAACATCGCCAGGGAAGCCTTCTTTACAGGCGACACCCTCAACAACCTTTACCTCGGAACAACCAACAGCCTCAGCAATGAGAACTCCAGAGGCATCGAATTCATCAGAGACGAGACCCTCAGCGGCTAGCACGCCAACAGACGGGCCCACCTCGGTGACAAAGCTGTCGACGGAGGAGGTGGATTCATCCACGTTAGCGAGTACTACGGGACAGGCGACCACGACTGCTGCCTCGCTTCAGCGAGGCTCTCCCTGTTCAGATGGTCAGTCAATCAACAAATGACTTGCCACCAGTATTGAAAGACAGGTGCTGCTGGTGAAAGGGCTCCTCGACGCGCAGGCTGCAGTTCGACAGATTTCAGTGGGAATTTTGACCATCACCAACAGGCTCGCGGTATGTACGGCGCGCACCATCCCCTCTATAGCCAGCTAGATAATTGTTCGCACCGAATTTTTCCCCATATATCGTGAAAATCGTTTCTCGGTCTGTTTGAATTGGAGCACAAACCTTTCCAGGCCGAAGTCTCGTGTTTGGGGTATTCTCATACCCAAACCGTTCGTGGCTTTCCAGACGAAACTGGCTACCTAGGTATTCACCGAAATGAGATTCGGTGGTCAAAGCAGCGCAATATTATAACCGTATCAGGCTAGATCGTCGCCTGAACAGGGGGCCTTGGGGGTCATTCATTGGCATCTGGAAAGCACGTGCCTCCACCCGGGGAGAAAGAAAGCCTTAGCCGACGTGCCTGTCTTGACTTGCAAGTTGCATTCTGTGCAAGAAGCTGTTCTCTCCCCGCCTCACCTCGGACGGCGAGGTGAGTGACTACAAACTTTTGTTTACCGTCATATTCCCGCTTGAAGAGTATCTCTTCGACGTAACCCCAAGCATGCTGCCGAGTGATTACACCGCGGCGGGCTCCGGCAAGCTCAAGCTCAAAGGCGTCAAGGACTCCAAGGTCGACAAGAAGAAAAAGAAGAAATCATCGTCCAAGGCCTCGGGAAATGAGACCCCTGCACGGGATCGAACGCGGGGTGAACAAGAGCTTGACGACGAGTTCAAGGATCGGTCAGTCATGCTGAGAAATCTGGAGGACGAGGATCAAAAGATGGCGGCCGAGGAGGCCAAGAGTCTCCAGAAGCGACGGGCCGATTCTACTGGAGGTGGCCATGGGGATGCCGAGCCTATCGAGGAAGAGGGCGGCGGCATTGTCAAGACAGAAGCCGAGAGACGGTATGAAGAGCAGAGACGGAGAAGGGTGCGTTCTACTCTCCTCCCATTCCTATCCATACCTACTTTCGTGGAGGAGTCTACCTTCTCGGTCTATGAGAATTTTACGACTGTTACGTGCTGACCTGTCCGGTGACTGTAGCTTGAGGAGCGTCTAAAACGAGAAGGTGTCAAGACGCACAAGGAGCGTGTTGAAGAGTTGAACCGCTATCTCAGTAGTCTGAGCGAGCATCATGACATGCCGAGAATAGGACCGGGCTAATATGGGCTCGATGGAATAAGGCTGACATTGGAGACGGGCTTTGCCATCCACATGTTGTCCACACCGGTTGGGACGATACGGGAAACCATCCAAGTTCATCGTTTTGCGGAGAAATCGACCTGTCACTACAAACTTTTGGTAACGGGCAGCGAGAACGTGCAGTGGATTCCTCTAGCCCTGACGACCATGGCTCTTGAAACGTCTCGGAAGGAAAAGGTCCAGATGGCATAAGACAAACCCGGACCCCGTCAGCGTTGACCTTGGATTATAGCAAGGAGGGAAGCTGGAGAGAGATCCCATCACAGACGTTTTCGCCAGGCGAGCGGGACCGGAACTCATGATGAAATCACATGATCGAGAAGCGGTTGAGTGAACAATGAATGTGCTTTATCTTGTAATTCCACAATATCATCTGTTTATGTACAATGCTGTGTTCCACCAAAGGCCATGTTCAGCCGCTACCACTACTCTTCATACTCGGCTCGTCCTGGTTTCGAGTTGAGATATTCGTTCCTGTGTTACGCAAACCCAGTCAGTATCCAACTCCACGCTTATCCACAATCAACGTCCCATCTCGAGCTCATACACACCTCTCTGTAGCCCAGTCCATCGCCAAGTACGCAATCAAGAAGGGAGGTACCCAGTACAGAACCTGGTTTCGTGATCGGCGGAAAGTGTTGAAGATGGCGTCGGAAAGGAGGGTAGACGTAGGGTTCTGTCGGTTCGGCGACATAGCATACGTGACAATGTTCTTTTGTGTCGGAGACCCTGTGTCCAAAGTCAATGTCTTGTCGGTGGTTTCAAGAGGCAAGCTGGTGGCTAGGTGCAACATATTGCTGGGAAGGATCCGAGGGCTTCAAGAACTGGACAATCCCGTACCTAGATTTCCCCACGAGCCAATGTACCTGTGTATCAAAGTCCGTTAGTTTACGAAGTCGCAGGAAAAGTAGGGTTGCTGGGTGAGTGGGAACGCACACTCCATTCTTCGGGTCTGGGCCGTGACCGGAGCGGAGGATGCGGGTAGCTTGCATCCGCAAAGCTGGGGTAGGACGCATTTTGAGAGATCAGACTGTGCAGCCACGGCGAATCCCAGTGTTGGGTTGAGAGATTGTTGCTGAAGGTCAATGTGCCTAGTTGAAGTTGCGAGGTGAAGGATGAGAAGCTCGGCCGCAGTCTCGAAAAAGGCTTGGCCCAGCTTATGTAATGGATAGCTTTAGGTTGCGTTGGTTGCGCATGGCTGCGGAGAAGATTCACCTTACGATATTATTGCGTACTCGACTCCATCAACAGTTCACGACACACGAGAAATAGCAGAATCCGTTGTTAGATGGTGGCAAGCTAGAAAAGATTGGACACAACCTCAGCTCCCTCTGAGCCTCTCACCACCATGTCTGCGCCGAACGTCCTCAACGCCATTTCACGATGGGCGATCCCCGTTTTCATCGGTGCCTCATTAGCACAAAGTGCCATGTACGATGTGAGAGGTGGAACGAGAGCCGTCATCTTCGACCGTCTCTCTGGTGTCCAGGAAAAAGTCATCAATGAAGGAACTCATTTCCTCGTACCATGGCTGCAGAAAGCCATCATCTACGATGTGCGGACGAAGCCCAGAAACATCAGCACCACCACCGGGAGCAAGGACTTGCAGATGGTGTCATTGACGCTGCGAGTGCTCCATCGCCCGGATGTCCAAAATTTGCCAAAGATCTACCAGGTCAGTCTCCTACCAACCCCTTGCATGGCGCAAGACAGCTAACTATTTTGACTGCCAGTCCCTTGGTCAAGATTACGACGAAAGGGTTCTCCCATCTATTGGCAACGAAGTCCTGAAAGCAATCGTGGCTCAATTTGACGCGGCAGAACTGATCACACAACGAGAAGCCGTCTCACAACGCATCCGAGCCGACTTGACTCGTCGGGCGCAGGAATTCAACATCGCCCTAGAGGATGTCTCCATCACGCACATGACCTTTGGCCGCGAGTTCACGAGGGCAGTTGAACAGAAACAGATCGCTCAACAGGACGCAGAAAGAGCAAGGTTTATCGTGGAGAAGGCCGAGCAGGAGAGGCAGGCGAACGTCATTCGTGCCGAAGGAGAAGCCGAGTCGGCAGATATTATCAGTAAAGCTGTGGCCAAGGCTGGAGACGGGTTGATCCAGATCAGAAGAATCGAGGCGAGCAAGGACATTGCCCAGACGTTGGCCGCGAACCCCAACGTGACCTATCTGCCCGGCGGTGGCGAGGGTGAAGGTGGCAAGGGGAAAAGTACCGGTTTACTGCTGGGCTTGAGGGCCTGATCGGCACCGTCAGTGAGTGACTCTCGGATGGGGCTTGTACTGATATGATTTCACAACAGTCGTGTGTGAAAAATGTTGTCTTACTCTGTGGCATTTTACATAGTGACCAAAAACCACCTCTCCAACTGGGGACATTCTCAACTTCCTTTTTTTTTATATTTATATATCACAGCTCAATGTCCCACTTTCCCAAAAAGGGGGCATATTGTCCAGAATTCGCTTCAACTACATACTAATTGTTTTTTTCTTTCCCTGTGTCGCGAGCTGTGTCAAATCCTTGTCAGCCGTTCATCGTAGGTCGACTCCCAATGTTCTTCGCGCGCGCTCGCTCCCTACACAACGATACATACTGAGCCTACTGGAACCCCGAGGCGGGAGGCGGAAAGGGTTCGACGGAATAAGGCAAGGGCTGGCGCCCCCAGAGCCTGACCTTTGAAAGTCTCTCCGACCCTTTTTCTCACTACCACGTCTTTTACAGAGGCGATGTCTCAGAGGTACCCTAACTACGTCGACGGGTCCGGGAAGAGGCGAGCGATCGAAAACAGCGATCGTGCAGAGAAGAACCTGAAAGGACGACGCTTTTGGGAGACAAAGACCACATTTCCTGGGTCTTTGGAGCAAATGATAAGGCCAAAAAAGGCCCGGAGACAAAGAGAACCTATGAAGGGTGGTGGTGGCCATCGTCAAGGCAGATGGTCAAATGCCCAGCCAGTCTAGGCGTCTCCATTCGGAATCAAGAATGCAATGTATACACTATCAGAAGTGAAGAATAAAAATAACAATAATGATAGCCAATAGACAAGGAGCCGAGAGTGTTGCGGTCTCCCTCGAAGCGGCAATAGGGAAATGGGGGAACGTTCTTGAAGCGATAGCAATCACGACTTTCAGAACCTCATCATCTTCCTCCACGGCTTGTAGTTGAACTGCTGCCTCTTCACCATCTTACCGCTCGAGCCGCTCTTCGTCCATACACTGAGGGCGCCGGGTCCTCCACACATCTCTCCTTCTGCCCCAGTGCACGCCATGTTGCAACTACCCTCATCCAATACTGGAGTGGTGATCTCGTTGCCACAGAAACATTGTCCAGCGTATTCAGTGCCCGCGACGGTATATCCGCGTGAATCGCAGAAAGAGACGCAAGCGCCGTTGCTCATGTTCGGGCCGTTGAAGTTTGACCATTGCGCAAGGGTGCGCGGGTTGACGGTGTCCGTAAAGCAGCCGGTGTAAGACCAAGACGGGTTTGACGACGAGGGAACAGTGGGCGTAGACGACGCCTCGGTAGCAGGTGAAGATGAGGACGATGAGCTCTTGGTAGGCTAAATTAACAACTGTCAGACTGAATATTTTTTGATTTCTCCTTGGTCTTTTTGGACCTCAAACCTGGGATTGAACTGGGAAGGGAATTGGGGCATAACAGGTTAGGGAGACGAGGTGATAGTAGCAATGTGAGTGGGGGTCAGCCGAGGACGATGAAGAGAACGAGTACGCAGTGGCACAAAGGGTATCAAGGAGTAATGGTCGAAAGAGAAATCGACGTCGTTGAATCAGGGAAACTGGTTGGGTTGGCGACATCTGACCCACCCGCCGATGAGGCAGCAGCGGATGGGGTCCAGAGCCGGAATTTGTCTAATTTGCATCGTTGCCATCGTCGTCTTCGACACCGTCATCGTCATCACTAGGGGGAGAAGTAGAATCTGTATTTACCGAAGCTTGGTTGGTTGGTGGCGACTCGGGACTCTCTGTCGGGGTTGCAGCGCTGGAAGTTGTGATCGTGGCAAGTGTGGTAGGAGAGCCCGGCGCCGAATGAGAACCACTTGAGGTTGATGAAGGAGCAGCGGAGGGAGAAACAGCGGAAGAGGACGAGCCGGCTGGCGGGGGGTTGGCAACTTGGACAGGTGCCGAAGGACCGGGGCCGAACTGAGCGTTTGCGCATGATTCACCGGAACATTTCTGGTAAAGAGAAATAGTCCCGGCACCACCGCAGAACTCAGAGTCATCACCAGCACAGCTCATGGTGCAGGCTCCGACAACGCCAGGAACCGGCTTGCCACTGTCAGGTATGGAGTTGCCGCCTGGAGGAAAGTGTTAGCAGCTCAACTTCTGGAGATTGATAGGTACTTACAATAGCATTCATCAGCATACTCAGACCCGGCGATAGAGAAACCCTTGCTCTCACAGAAAACAACACAGTTCTCGTTGGTCATTTGACCGTTGGACTGGCTTGCACCAGTCAGAACACGATTGAAGTAGTTGTCGGTTCCGCAGCCCATGTATGACCATCCCTTGCTGGTCAAGTCGGTGAAGAAGGTGGTGTTGGAGGGAGTAATGGTAGTGGGTGCGCCGCAGCCGGACTGAGGAGTCGCGGTTGGACCAGGTTGAACGGGATTACAACCCGGCAAAGCTGAGAGGAGACCACTGACTTGCTCGTCGACCGCTGGTGCGATGCGGCAACCTTGGGCCTGAGAGTCTGGGATCAGGTCGAAAACAGGGCAGTCCTCAACCCGGCCACTGTCGTTGGTGCACTGGTCAACAGCAGACTGGAGCAAATCTGGATCCCAACCCATAACGAAATCACCGTGGCCGCCATAACCAGTAGGGTCACCCATGGACCAGACGAAAGGTTGTCCATTCCCATACCACTGATTGGCGAATTTCCCAGTGTCCCAGATGACTTCGTAGAAAATTGAGATGAGATGAACAGGGAAGTCGGCTGGGCAGGGACCCGAGTTGTACGAATTGGCGGGATAAGAGACGTGAGACATATGATCCGGCGAGTCCAAGTCCTTGCCGTTCCAGCAAGAGGGAAAGAAGACCTGGGATCGAAGCCCATTGGGACAGTTGTAGTTGGGAAAGTTGGGGGTTTCTGGCTTAGCCGGACCGTTGTAGTCGAGGCAGTTGTAGCTGATAGCCTGGGTTGCAAAATCATCGCCTCCAGTTCGCTTGAAAGGGTTTCCGGCAATCATACGGAAGCCAGGAGGGAAGGCTTTCAAGGTCTCGCCATTACCGGCCCGCTGCAAGTAATACACAGTAGCGCCGCCGACCTGGTCGACACTTTCAAAAGTCCCATTTTCGTGTTGGAAGAACAAGGCTGGGATCCAGTAGTTGCTGAAATCTCCCTCCACCGTGCAAGACGAACAAGTAGACCGCTGGGTCGAGTTGTAGTCCATGGCGAAATCAAACCCGTTTCCTCCCATGATGGTGTGCAAGTGGCCAGATACTGCCCCTGGGTTCACAATAGGGTCGGCTCGCTCAACCACAATCGGGGATTTGCATGGCAGCCGCCAGAAGGCCGATACTGGCGAGGCTGCAAGAGCGGCCACAAGGCCTGTAGTAAGAAGAAAGGACATGCTGCGTGCTGGTATGACGGGTACCGAATTGGAATCGAAGTCGGGAATTCCGGGAACGCTCGACTGCTGAATGCTATAAAAGAATGATTCTCTGACAAAGGACTGGACGTACGACACTTTCGCACAGCGAATAAAGAATGGACGGCGAGGGTCTCCGACTCTCGAGCCAATAAACGAACGTGGTTATAACAAAAAGGACGACTTCGGATAACAATGAAAGAGACTTCAGAAAGATCCCTGGGAAACGAGGACTTGATATGAAGATATACTGACTCCTCCTCGCCGAGGTTCCTCGTGCTGCCATCGACATCAAGGGCTAGGATGGTCCGTTGTGAAATTGCAGACCTTGTCCTTACCTTTTCGGGATGTACAGGGTAGATCCTGTTGTGCCTTTGCGTTGTGACAGAGATAGACGAAGGCGTCTGAGTGGCATGTTTGTTCCACTTCGATTCACGCCGCTCCTTCCATAGTACCAATTGGCTGGAGGGTGGTCAGATCCAAGTCTGCTGAGCAGCTCAATCTTTATCCGCTGAGGACGTTGTCATTGTTTCCTCCAAGTTAGTCAACATGGGTCGGAGAGCTCTTCTCCTGCAGGTGGAGGGAAACGGTGCTGTAGCGTCCTGCCATAGTGCGAGGGACGCCTACGGATAGGCGAAAGAAAGCGAAAAGTATCCAGGCATAGACCGATGTGGGGAAAGTTCCACTACTAGGATGCTGCGGAATAGGAATACATTATCAGCCGCCTGTTTCAGAAGTGATATTGAGGCTGGAAAAGGTCGACATCAAGGGCGGGGGGTTTATCTGATCTCAAGGAGGACGGAGGATTGTTTCAAGTTGAGCCACATGAGGGCCAAGAGACCACAAGGCGAAGTTCTCGGGCAATTCTGTCGTCCCCTTGCTTTGAAGAGAGAGCATTACCAACACCTCATGCCTCTTGATCTCGAGATATGGATTTTGCTGCATTGCTCCATTGCTTGAACGGGGATATTGCCCATTGATAGACTGGTTTGACTTAACCATGCCAGCTCCTCGCAGGTCGGTCGGTCGGTCGGTCTGGACTGATCTTGAACAGATCCCCTAGTCGCGGATTCGCGGAAATTCAACAACCCAACTTCGGTATTCATTTGCGCTCAAGCGTGGCCCCAGCTCTCTTGGCATCGTCCTGCATGTCATAATCAGGTCAAATGCATGTCACCGCCGTCTGAGGTACTGACCATTTAAAGGGGGCTCGATATTATCCTCAACCAACAACGACAAACTCGGTTAGTGCTCCGTGTGGACGACAGCGCACCCCCTGCATCGAGGCCCGGGATGCTCGTATTCGTTGAATCGACCATCCAACACGTGGCTGAATACGAAGTCGTTAACCGCGCCGCCGATTCCCTTCTACCTTCATCACACCTCCTTCCCATGTCGCCAACCTCATGTTTGTTGGGTACCTTCGATTTCGAATTTTGCAGATCCTCGTTCAAGTCGATCTCTGGCTCGCTGAACTTGGCCTCGACTTTGAAGGCAGGCAAACAATGTTTAACTGCCTCTGGACCTATCATGGTGGCGATTTCTCCAACTCTGATCTGAGCTGCTTTGTGAGCAAGACCATGATCCCGGAAAAGGGATGCCTCAAGCCGGTCTTTCCCCTTCCAATAGCATCCTTGAGGTTGAAATCCCATCGCCGCTCTCGACATCTGTCCAGTGGTAGATCTCCTTCAAGTGCTGGAACCCGTCCAAATCGATGGGTGTCGGTGATCCATTGCTCCGTTACGATATCACCCATAGCCACGGCCACGATCAGCTTTCCGGTTGTTGTGTTTTGAAAGGGTCTTCTGGAATGCACACGACTGTTGCTTTGTTTATATCTGTGCTCACTATGCTTTCCAGACGTTCAAAGCTTGTCATTACAGATCTTTTCTCCTGAATGCTGGTACTGCCACTGAAGATTGACACAGAGGCAGCGCCAGAATAGTCGGTGTATGATACGGACGCAACTCGCCTAGTCACAGGTTCTCGGCATGATGGCTGCTCACTTGATAAGTTGCTATGTGTAGCCGTATTTGTTGCGGAGGATGGTCGACAGGCCCTTGAATGTCGGATTGAGGCTTTGGTGGCCTGCTTTTGGGCGTGTGTGTTTCTGTTTTCTTGTCCTGAGAATTGATGCTTGCGATATTGTCGTCGATCATCAGCTGAGATACCCGACTGGGCTTCCTCAATTTCCAGGTTCGAATCCGCTGCTTGCGTTTCCTCAATCTTTCGCTTGCTCTTTGGTCGGCCAAGCGCTCAAAGAGCTGCACAATCATCTTCGCCTCGGAAATGATCTTGGGCATCAAGAGAGCTTGGTGGAGATTCGCAGTGGCTTCTGTGGACTGAAAACAACCATAATGATCAACAACCCTTCGATAACGCCAGATAAGCATTCATCTGGCCGGGGCTCTTGTTCCTCCGCTGATGTACGCGCTGCAGCTTGGGAGTTGTCTAAGAGAACATTCAGCTTGTCGGCTGCGTCTTGTTCCGTGGTACAAAGCACAGCCTGTGGCGTATTTGGGACTCTCGGGTCGCTTGAACCTTCTTCGACTCTCTCGTTATCCTCTGTGCAAATTTCGACCTGATGCCCGTTGTTAGGACTTGGAGAGGAGAAGAGTCACCGCTCTGGACCTGGCTAGCTGTATTTCGGTGCCTTTGTCGACTGGACCCTGCAAATGCTCTTCAGCTGCCAGGAATTTGTCGGCGCAGTCAATGACCAGCCGTAGTGGCGGAGTTCTTATGCAATCCGAGCATGTTCAGTCCGCACCACACTAGCGAAGGCCCAACGACCACCTGATCCCAAGAAATTGACGTCGGTGCTCAAGATAATGGGCTTGTGATGAGCACCGGTGGACAGAGGCAACCCGTTCTTGATACTGTCCTCGCCGAGCATGAAATATGGGCCATTGGTGTTACTGAATGTGCGGAGGAGGACGAAAGTATGGTGGACGTCTGCGATAATTGGTAAGCTTTGATTGAAGGACCTGACGACAACACCATACCAAATTAGAGGCTCGAATGCATTTGGACAAGACTTGGTCTTAAAGCTAGGAATTCTATACTGGATTATTAGGAAGATGATATGCTGAGCAGTCGCCTTCAACAAACAGGTTTGGAACAATCTTACGCCGAAAGCTGTCAGATAGAGGAGAGATACGGCGCCCATTTTTGTCGACAATCACCGTCAGTCAGGGAGCAGAAAGAATGAGGAGACGACATGAAAAGAGGCTGGAGATTGAAGGAGCAGCGTTTTTTGGGCACATACCGAAGGAAGCGACATCTGCGGAGGGTGGATAGAGCACAGCAACAGGTCTACAATGAACTCGGCAACACCCAGCGTCGGATTCTGCCATGCCTTGTTTTCCACCTTATGGGTTGCTCTTCTTTGGCTGATGACGCATACCGAGACCAGGTAATTCTACAGTAATTGCATCCCGACGCGGCCCATGATCCTCAGAGGTATTGTCTGTGGCTACCTGCGCTATCTAGGAAAGAGAATGTTTTCACTGTACCCGTAGGGCAGGCACAGAACCCCCCACCACCCAGTTCTCCAGCGTTGTCCGTCCTTTTTTCAAGATTAGGATGGCAGTATGTGTGAGACTGATTGGAAGCTGACAGCATCGGAATCCACAAACTGCTGATAGAGGCAGCTATCTGTCGACCCGGCCACTCCCTGTCACTCTTGAAACGGTGTTCGGCTAGGGCCTAATTTGCAGCCAGCACAAGATCAAGCTGGTGTTCTCGATGTGGAGAGGTCTACGCGGTCCTATTGCGTCGGGTCTAGGGTAGGACAGACGGGAGGTGCTGCGCTGTGCAGAGAGAGGGGGAAAAGAGAGAACAATATTAAGGGCTTAGTATTGTTCTCGATGTCTCTGATTTTCCAACCTGCCTCGTTTCCGCAGTGCAGAAGATCAGGAGGATGAATTGAAACACGGCGAACCAAGAATCGAAAGAATTGACAGACAAGATGATGGCAACTTGGAAATGGAGTGCAAGAGGTAGGCTGATACTGGGCGAGGACACAAGACAGAGTAAGGAGTTGAAGTGGACGATGTGAATTCACCTTCGCCTCACTTTGCTTCCCCTGTACTTCACTTCCCGTTCTCTCTCTCGTCCTCTTTTACTGCCTCACCTCCTGGTTTGTGTTGCCATTTGCCCTCAGGATTGCTTTTCAGAATCAAAACAAACACCTTCATCATCAACACCTCTCACTTTTTCTGCATCTCTTCCTCCTCTTCTCACTGTCACCACCTTACATCATCTTCTCTCCTGCTCCGCTCCGCTCTCATCGCTTGCTCAATTGCGCCAACGGCATCCAGTTCCTCACTGCAGTAGCATCTCTGCTGTTCAGTCAATACCATCATGGCTACTGCGGCGTTTGTTGCTGCTGGCAGTTTGCCCACCGCGGGAGTCGGAGGCGCTCTGTACGATGAGGCGTTCCAAGTTCCAACCTATCCTGCTGCTCCATTCAACCAGGTCACCTGGCGTCTCATTGACACCTGGAACAACATCAACGTCAATTACAACACCAACCGAGGACTCGCAGCCGGCTTGGTTTGGGCCACCCTGGTCTATCTGCTTGCCCTCACTCCAACTCGAAAGAGAACGACTCCGTTCCACACCTTCATGCTCATCGGCCTGGTCTTTATGCTGATCAAGTTGATGATCGATATCGTCTCGGCTCTCACTGCTGGTCTCCAGTCCTCCTCAGCCTACACCTTCCTCACCCTCGACTTCACTGACAGCATCTGGACGAGTGACTTCGTAGCAACTTTCGCCACCAGCCAAGTCACAGGATGGTTTGCCTTCATCTTCGCTGCTATCTGTCTCTGGCTCCAGGCGAAAGGGTTGATGACGGGGATCAAAACTCGCTACCCAATTGTCTACAAAGTCATGCTGATCTACCTCATCCTCACCTCCGTGGCCGGCCTGGGTGCTGCCATGGCATACAGCATCCAACAGATTCTTCAGCTTGGCCAGGACGGCGCTGAAATTTACGATTCTCTCAACCAAGCATACAATGCTCGCATCGGATACCTCGCCGCTTACACAGTCTGCATTGGGAGCTTCAGCCTGGTCTCCATGGCTTCAGTCGTCGATATCGTTTGGAAGCGTCCTTCTTCCATCGTTGCGAGAAAGAGTGCATACGCCTCGGCATTGAATTTGATCGGGTTGTTGTGTGTCCAATCGTTCGTCATTCCTTGTAAGTGCCTCCTTGCCTATTGTCGCCCGCTCCATTCTAACGCTCCAACAAAGTCATTTTCTGCATTCTACAGATCGTCCCTGTGCAGACTAGCATGCTGCACCCAGAGATCATGCTCCTCCCATCCGTCTACGTGATGCTGCCTCTCGGCTCACTCTTCATGACTGTAAATTCCACCGTCGACGACGCCGAGGCACAGAAAGCTTCGCCGGTGCCGTCGAACACCATGCCTTCAAAGCCTGCCTTTGCCGATAGCCTTGCAACCTTGACCAACAGCACTACTTCTGCGGCCTCGCGACCCTCTTCATATATGCTCGAGGCAGGACATGGCAAGACGGAGACAGATCGGGAGCTCAGCGCGATCGATTCCATGGGCTCTGGTGCAGCAGCTGGGAAAGATACTGATGTGGCATTGAAGAACAAAGGTGTTGAGGGCAAGGAGGCACTCGTCTCTGAGAAAATGGTGGATTAGATATATGGTGGCTCCTTCTCAAAATCGCCTCAACAATCAACCATATTCGACGGAAATCAGGCGAGGTCATTACAACCATTATGCTTTATGTATGCTCGCGTGGCTCGGTCCGAGAAACTTGCATTCTCGGGGGTCAACAACCACACGGCCATCTACGGAGGATTTTTTCTCTTCTTTTGCTGGGTGATATCTGTCACAAGCTGAAGATGCACTTACGGTCAGGGGCCTGGGATGGGGAGCGGGGAAACCTACATGCATTAACTGGAAGTACTGGTCGTGAGCAAGTGAGCATCGATTGAAAGGAGGGAGTGAAACACAGCGAATACATCGGCAATCACGCACGGTGTGAATACGCAGAGGATGGACTTTTTCGAGAGACGCAAAACAAGGACAACGGTCTTCAGTCGGCGAGGACTCGGGGCTGTGCTTAGCTGGATGGAAACGGTGGAGGACGTAATGGCGTCTTTGTGATCACATAGCTAGCTAGCCAGCCGGCCGCGAAAGAGGGCTTTGAGCTTGTCAACATCGGCATGAGGTGTGAATAACACAACAAAATTTCCACATCGGAGTTTCCTAGGGTTCGTCCTGTGTCGTCTGCTTCCTGCTGTAAGTTGATTTGGAAAGAGACAATGTCCCTTCATTGAACGACAGAGGGTTTCTAAGGGGCAGGTGTGTGGGGAGAGAGAGAGAGAGAGAGGTGTAGAAACCGTCATGCCCGTACCCTTCATATCAAACCGTGTTCATCATTAATATACTCATCTCATTCGGCGCTCACACGGTCACTTTCCTCTTGACCAATCTCACCCAACGTCTTCTTCTCCATTCCCCCGTTCTCCCACGACTGTCAACCCTGGTCGCCTCCTCCCAGTCCCTCACCGCGCCACTTTTCTCTTTCTTGTCTCTCTTTTCCCGCTCCTTCTCTCTCTTCTTCCTGGCCTTTTCCTCCTCCTTGGATTGGTGTCGTACGCCTACTTTAGGAACGTCGTAGTCTCCGTATGCCAGCCATAGATCGTCGTCTCTGTTGACGCCGGAGCCGGGCATCGGCGGAAGATCCCACACCCAACCCCCAAAGTCGAGATTGATACTCTCTCTGCGAGTTGTAGAGATTCTTCGTAATCTTGTGTCGCTGTCGTTTCTGTTGCCATCTTGATCGTGGTCTCCAGGGCCGGAGGCGGCCTGACCTGATAGAGGCCCATCGATCTTTTGGGACTCGCGGTTGAGGACATCGTACTCGACGCCCACAACGAGTCTCTCGTTGACCCACTCTCCGGCTTCGAGGTCCAGCTCCCATTTCTTGGATGCCCATTCCCATCCCTCTGGCGGTTCGACGTCTTCGAAGAAGCGTGTACCCCTTGGCCTGTCGCCTGCTATTCGCGCTGGGGAGAGAGGATCGTAAGGAGAAGGTGTGAAGAGATGGGGCTGCCATTCGGCTGCATTTCCACTGGAGGCAGCGTTGGCTAGAGGACGATGCTGGAGTTCAAAGATCTCCACTTCCCTGGTCTCTGGGGTTGTTGACAGGGTGATCTCAGAAAAGGTAGTGAACGCGGACTTGATCGCATGTGGCGTGGCGGGGAGAGGGATGCCGTGGATATACTTTTGGTGTTTGAGATTAGGGTCGTTCAGCGCGAGGGTTGTTTCGATTTCGGCTTGTTTTTGCATCTTCATCAACCATGCCTGTGCCCTGGGGTGGGAGGAGCCAATCACTGCCCATCCCAAAGCAAGAAATATCAATCGCCAAGGAAGCAGATGCGAGGTGATGAAGGAAAGCGTGGTTAGAATAATCAAATACAGAAACAGTTGGGAGGAAAACTTTTCGTCGGAGAAATTGGTGGCTGGCGCGACGTTGTCCACGAGCCAGTCGTGCACGTTACTGAAGTCGGCCATGGTGTTCTGCAGGTCACCCATATTGCGGAAGAAGTCTTTTGAGGTTTCAGGCGCTGGCTTGATGACAGCAGCCGGGGCTAATGCGGGGCCTGTGTATGCTTGATGGTATTCTGTTGTAAGGTTGGTGCTACTGCCATGGGCGAATGCGGGCGTTGGAGGTGGTGGGTGGCGAGAAGTGAATGCTGGGATCATGATATAGAATAAAGCTATGGCAAGAGGTACCACGACAAGTAGGTATGGATCGAGACAGACGAACGAGTACGTGGCTAGGAAGGACAAGGTGTGTGTTGGCGTTCGCCAGGTGAAGAGGCGGATGAGGCGATTCTGAAAGACGAACACGATGCCGATCCGGGCGTTGAAGCGACGAAAGTTGTATGTCATCAATGGCAGGCTGAATGCAGGGCGAGAGACATTTGAACTTGACGGCACGGTGGTTGGAGTGCTGGGTAGATCGTCCTGACCATCGTCTGTTGGAAGCACCTGTTGGAAAACTCTGAGAGAAATATGTTAACGATTGCTATGAGTGGGCACAAATCTTTCAAGGCCCATCAAGCATAAGTGGGAAGGTGTTGGAAAATAAGATAACACCAAGGGGAATGCATACTTC